GAACTATCCAACCTACAAGGCGTCAAGTATTAAGGCCAAAATTACCTACAATGAGGTCACTTAATCCACCTACAACAGTCCGTTGGATGATGCCACCATCTACAACAGACCATGCAATGCTTGGCAGTCAAGAATCTTCTGTTTCTAACCCTCACAATCAAGATTTGCACACAACATCAAAAGAATGAAATGGGTAGTGTTGATGAAACTTTTTGTGTAGTTTACCTAGGAACTTGACTTACTTTGTCATATACCTGCTTCTGCTTGATTGGCTTTGATGCATAGCCATTCTTTTTGTAAAGTTTACTTATGAACTATCCATCTTGCAGTTCAATGCAAAATGAAGAAAAATTAAATGCACAATGCAAAAAATCAAAGTTTATAGACATACAAAGGAAGCAAAACCATTACAAAATAATAGAACCATAAGAATTAATCTGGAAACATATACAAACTTCCATTACAAAAACTTCCATTACAAAGCTTTTAATCCACCATTCAAATAACACCATTTTCATTTGCTAACCCAAAGCTTATAGACACATAAAATCAAAATAACAAGCTAAAAAATCCTCTCATTTCTCCTTTCCCTTTCCATTTTTCTTAATTTCTTCAACAACCCTAAGCAAACAAATCTTGCCCGAGGCACTATGGGAGGATCCATCCAAACAAAAAGACGACATTTTGTACTCATCTTTTTCCCATAGTTTTGGCAACCAAAAAACCTCCTCCCACAATTTTCATTCGTCCAAGTCGTCACCACCTTAGCTGGTTGTCCACAATTACAAAGAGAAACTTCAATGGAGTCTTCCATCTTCACCTTAGCTAGCTTTTATCTTGGGAAGGATTTGAGAAAAATTTCAACAAAGAAAAATATGAAGGAAAAGAGGTAGATTAGGGTTAGGGATTGGTTTTATTTAAAGGGGAGAAGAAAATGAACGTTATAGTACTGCTCTCTTCCACCATGGCATTCCAGGTAAGCATCTAATGTTCCACGTGTGTTTTCTGTGACGGCTCCTAACGGCTGTTAACGGCCAGTGACCATTTTGTGACAAACGATAACGTTAGTAACAAATTTATAACTTTTTAAACATTAGTGATGAAAACAATAATTTACCCAAACATCAGTGACCATTGGCGTAGTTTACTCTTTATCTTTTTATTTGGTGTGTCATTTGCCCTTGATCGTGGACAACGCAGCCCATCATATAGACCCAACATTCAAGTATTCTGAAATAAGCGTACACCATTTTTTATTTTTAAATGCTCAAAGTGTCAAGAAATACATCGTTTTTGATACAATTGGTTCATCATAATAGGACCAAAACATATTAGAAATCGACAATGCCCACTGGGCTAGAGTGTGAGCAACCCTATTTGCAACACGTTTGGCATAACAAATCTTGATGCTCGGATTAAGAACTAGTGACTCGTGTGCCTCTTTAAGAAACAATCCGACGAGGGAGATGTCCTCTTTATTGTTGGCCAGTCGATTAACTATGGCATAGTGTCTCCTTCAATGGTGACTTGGCTCCATTCATTCTCGATAGTAAATCTTTTACCATGAATGAATGTCAATGTTTTCTTTGTTTTTGGGGTTCCGAGTTTACGCCCAACACCTCCTAACACCATAACATCGTGATCTCGAGCTACCACGCCGATTGCCGCCTCTCCCGTGTTCATGATAAAAGCATCGTCGACGTTGATTTTGATGGAACCCTCCATTGGTCTCTTCCAACCATGAGCAGTGTTAGCACTTGGCGAGGGCCACCTGGTAACACCTGCATTCGTCTCAGCGTAATCTTGAACCAGCCACCACGCTGACTGTACCACTTCACCATCCGCCTGTAATTCTCTGTCGTGCACCCTCCTGTTTCGGTTGTTCCAAATGTTCTAAAGCAGTGCAAGGAGTTTGGTAAAGCCATTGCGATCGAGGGAAGCTGCTACCTTCTCAAGCAATGCCATGCGAGGTACCTTGCCAGTCCACCAGTGCTATATCAAGCCTGGACAACACAAGGATGGAGCGGGATCTTGGACACGTCTTCAGAGTATAAAGAATAGTTTCCGGCTCATGGTTACACATCAGACAAATGATGTCGCCGATCCCAGCTGCCGCGAGTTTGTCTCCCGTTGGAAAGGCGTTGTGGCATATTCTCCACCCAAAAATTCTGATTTTTGGAAGGGTGGGGAGCTCGGTGAGAAGTTTTCAAATAGATGAATTGTCACGTACGGTACCGGCTCTCATGAGAAGCCAGTTATAACCCGACTTAGCCGAATAACAACTCTGTGTTGTGGTGCTCCCAAACAAGAGTATTCTCAGTTGTAGGCAAGATTATCTTGTCAAGAACCAGTCGGACATCCTCGTCCGAGGAGACCGATTGGACCTTTGGGGCATCCCATTCCGGTTTACCTGTCACCATGAAGTTGGAACAGCGAAAGGGTGAGGACTGAGGAGGGATTATCAACATATCTATCGGAGAGACGAACCGGTTTGGAACCACCCAACGATCAGCGTGAATACGAGTATCAACCAACTAAGAAAACTAAAATTTATATTCACAAAAAATAATGAAAATTTTTTGTTTATTAAAATTTCAAGAATATTGAAAGCAAAAGTTCCGTTTTATATGATTTTGTTGTTTCTCTAATTTTGTTATTCAAGTTGTATGATTGAATTGTTGAACAAATTGATTACTTTTTTATAATAAGTAAAATTTATTGTAATCCCCTACATCCAACCTATGCGTTTCCACTAAGGTGGTGTTTGTTTTTGCAGAGGTAAAAAGTCTGCAGTCTGCGGACTACATCTACAGGCATCTGCAGCAGAAGAGGTGGACCAAAAGTCTGCAGTCTGCAAGAAGAAGACTGTTTGTTTTTTAACATCTGCAGACTGCTAAAATAAACTGAAATATAAATAAACTGATTTTTTAAACTTAAAAGAGTTTTACAATACTGAAATTTAAATAATTTTAGTTTTATAATACTGAAATTTAAATAATCCATACAACTACAATAATAATTTTTTTAAAATAAATCAATCCATATTTTAAAATAAATCAATCCATATTTTAAAATAAAATTTTCCATATTTTAAAATAAATCAATCTATATTTTAAAATAAATCAATCCATATTTTAAAATAAATCAATTCATATTTTAAAATAATTTTTTCCATATTTTAAAATAAATCAATTCATATTTTAAAATAAATTTTTCCATATTTTAAAATAAATCAATCCATATTTTAAAATAAATTTTTTTCATATTTTAAAATAAATTTTTTCATATTTTAAAATAAATCAATTCATATTTTAAAATAAATCAATCCATATTTTAAAATAAATCAATTCATATTTTAAAATAGATTTAAATAATTTTAATTTCTTTGAAGACGTTTGAAGACATAAAACCATGTCTACACCAAGAAGACCTCGCGCAGACGTTAAAAGAGTTTCTGTCGGCGCAGACATTAAGCTTCGCATACCTTACACAGTAAAAATAAACACCACCTAAGTCTTGCATTAAAGATTCTTAAAAACATTTTCCAAAAACTTTATTCGGTAATTTAAATCATATTACAAATGACATTTATAAAAGTATAATAAATAACGATAAAACCCAACTCGTGAATATAAAACTAAAAGCGACCCGGTAAAATAAATCATATAATAAATCTGGAGCACAATAAATCAAATGTCAGTAGCAAAAGCAATAAACATCATAAAAAGATAGGTACTTCAAAAATAAGGCATGTGTTACCGTAATTAAAAGCAGTTCGGAAGATAGAAACATTACAACAAAAAGATTTGTACTAAATGTGTCAATCCTCCAAGTGTCTGATACAGAGTGTCTATCCAAGAGTATCTGAAAGGGGGTAAAAGAGTTTGAAAAGTGAGCTAGAGGCTCAGTGTGTCCCAACAATGCAAAAATAAAAACAAACAATTATGTTTTAAAATTAGAGCAAATCACAGTTATTAAAACATCAGAAGAGTTTTTAGTTTAAATATTTTGGAATCGCCCTCCAACCGAACACCATATGCAGTTCCCAGAACTGCATAACCTAAAGGAGTACCTTGGGGCCTGAGAGCCTACCCAAGATAATTCTCAACGCCACGGAGACGCTGGGGTTGTTTGGTTTGGGATTTGGGTTATCGAGGTTCACGATTGTGTTAGGGAATTTTGTGTTTTGGGAAATATGTTATAACCCAACTGAATTATAATAAAATATATATTTATTACATTTAAATATAAATAGTGATATAGGTTGGTTGATAGGGGTATTATCAACTATACCTTATGTCATATGTTCAAACCAACCTAGCTCACTATTTAATTTTTTTATAGGAAAGTTATGAAATAATTACAATACTAGTCCCCAAATTTCTCAAAATTTTGAAATAAATCCCAAAATTTTCAAAAACTGCCATTTTACTCATTAAAATCAAATAATTAAAATTAAACTGGGGGTGACATTTATAATTCTATAATAAAAATTATTTGATTTATCGTCATTCTTTTTATTAATTATTATTTCTCTGTCTCACTAAATTTGTCTATTTTGAAACTTAAAATTTGTCCTATTCAAAACATTTCATTAAAAAAATCAACACAAAACATTTTATTAAAAATATCAACAAATAATAATATTTATATATTTTTTATCCATATATATCCTATTTAAAGGCAGCAAAATTTTCAACAAACGCAAGTAAACACACTACTCGCTTAATATGCACCCCTATTATTAACGAGCAACGGAAGAAAGTGGAAGATGAATGAGATGGTAGAAGCCTCTTAACACCGGTCATTTCCCGGAATCTCGACTCGTTTAGGTGCGGAAGTGGAAGGCAAGAATCGAAACAAGGCTTTAGTAGGAGGAACTGAAGGATAAAGTGTTTTATCTTTTTTAAATAAAGGATAAGCATTGTATGATTGAAGGACCTATTAGTGATTAAGAAAAGATATATAGTAGCAGGACGTAATTGTTCCATATTTGACACTCAGAATAATCAATTAATCCCCCGTATAGCCATGATTCACCCACTGAATAACTTCTTATCCTTCAGGCTTTCAACCGTATCCTTTACACTCACCTCCAGTGGGGTAAAGTTAATGCCTAGAGTCTTTGCTTTCTCCCTCGACACCTGAAACACCGGCATAACTAGCTTCTCATCTGCGCACCTGCCAAAATTAGTAGCAGTTCCGGTTAAGAACACGGAGGCTACATTTCACAAACAATCCTTGCCACTCCTTACATGGGAGATCTATAAAATATACGTTACCCGGACTTCACATTTTCCTTAAGTTGCTTGTGTCCAACACCTATGCTTGAGACATGGATATGGAAAAAAACACTTTTCAGATGACACGCGCTCGTAAGTCCGGATAACATAGATAAAACAAACAGAGCTGAGAAGTTATTGAAATTTTAGCTGCTTCTGCGAATTGGTTAGAATTTTACGTGCATGATATGATGCTCATATGCTTGAGACTTACTTTTCAGGAAGACGAAGAGCAGGGTAAAGCTTGTGTAAAACCTGCACAACTTCCGAGCAGTGCATAACTCTCTCAACTAAAAGGTATCTTCCATGAGCTGCAGGATTCTCAAATGCTAGTACATGTGCGTTCGCAACATCTCTAACGTCTATTAATCGATATGTTGCATTCGGATATGTTTCAGGCCCTGCATCAAATAGAGGAAATGTTAAAGCTCGAGAAGTTCCAGATTCGTATTAGATTTACAATACATATATATATTCTTTTTGCAGTATATTTTTTATTTTATTTATGCTCAAACACTGCCTTTTGTGCACAGAAACAAGAAATAAGCTAAAGCAAAAGAAGTAAATCTCAGTTCGAAATGCAAATATTTTCTTCTCAGGTAAGTTTATCAGCAATAGTTGGCTAAGATGGATAATATCCGGTCTGCTAAATCTAGAAGGATAATACCGTTAATAAGTTTCAAAATCGGCTCCACACTTGTATTAACAGTTGGCTGTAAGAGAGGTCCGATCACCAACCCTGGATTTATTGAAACCATGTCGATGCCATTATCTTTTGTAAACTTCCAAGCAGCATCCTCAGCTAACGTCTTAGAAAGGACATACCAAAGCTGATGATGACAAACAAAATAAACATTGATAAACAAAAGATTCTATCATGCCTCGAAATGTTCCTTTCAGCAGAAACAGGTATGAAACTAAAAAACGAATCGAATTAAGCATTCATATTAGAGTGTAAAACCCTCAATTCCCACAAAATGAAACCATAACAGAAGCAGGAAGGAAAAGGGAGCTAATAAGCATTAGTATTAAAGATTTGCAGTTAGATCAGAAGAAAATATAATAATTTAACCATTTCTCTAATGATCTTTCTATGTTCTTAGGACGGGAGCAATGTTTATATGGGAAAAGGACTTTTAGAGTGTAAAACCCTCAATTCCCACAAAATGAAACCATAACAGAAGCAGGAAGGAAAAGGGAGCTAATAAGCATTAGTATTAAAGATTTGCAGTTAGATCAGAAGAAAATATAATAATTTAACCATTTCTCTAATGATCTTCTATGTTCTTAGGACTGGGAGCAATGTTTATATGGGAAAAGGACTTTAACAAATTCATGAATCAGTGGATAAACGACGAGGAAGAACAAAAAGAAGCGTTTACATATGATTCTTAAGAATACATGGCTAGCTTCGGGCTCTTGCTCATACTGGAAGTATGACATCATTTAGTAACTTAAGAAAACTAATACAGTTATGCTCCACACGTTTTGAACAGATATATATGCTATACGAGTTAGTCAATTTACATACCTCTGATTTCTCACAGTAATTGGGATCTGAGAACCAAGTTTCATCAACAACAATATCAGGACCAAGAGGCTTTCCGTTAAACACAACAGCTGCAATTGAAGATGTTATAACAACACGTTTAATCCACGGAACCTTAGCACACGACCTAAGAACATTAAGTGTTCCCTTCAAAGCTGGGTCAACCATTTCAGCCTGCATAGAAATGCCGAAGAACAAATCAACTATCAGGAATCTGTTCGCAACATCGAATAATCGGAAAGTAAGAGTATGCAAAACCATACACCGGCCAATCGGAATCAGAATCTAGACAGTATGCAAGTTTGTTTCTTTTCCTATTGGCAAGTAGATTCAACAACTAGAACCGTATAGCAGATGAACCGATATAATTAGTAAAGTTCATTGGGCCATTTCGATTGCCCCGGGAAATCAGAAACTACCCAAACGATCAGAATGCTACAATCTAACTTCAAATAATTATAGACAATCATGAAAAATGCAATTAGAGAGAGGGAAAAGCACCTGAGGATCCTTAATATTGTGATAAAAAGGAGATGCTGTGTGGAAAACTCCTACGCATCCATCGACTACCGAATCGAAAGCGCCGTCCTCCAGTAGCTCTGCCTTGAACAAATGGAGCCTTTCCTTTGCTCCATCAAGTGCAAGCAAGAGTTCTGATTTCTTTGGAAACGTGTGTAGGACAGTTAATTACATGAGAAAACATATTGATCTTACAATTACATATTAATCATCAAAGGAGAACACCTTTCACAACAACCCATATAGACCTAAAGATCAAAGCTTTCCACTTCAGTCACTTCTCAAAGAAAATTAAAAGAAAAGATAAAAAAAACAATTTTTAAGATAATTTTTTTATGAGAAAACCAAAACTAATCAAACATTTTAGGGGTGAACCGAAGAATTAAAACAAGAGAAAATCGCCTCATTAACCAAAAAAAAGTTATAATATACGATTTTAACCAACTTTTTTTGGATTTGCCAAAATGACCAACAAAATCGCAACGCGAAATAAAAATCGCAACGCGATCCCCAGAATCGCAAATCAGTTTCCAGAATCGCAACGCGATTCTTGAAAATCGCGATGCGATAGTACAAATTCGCATTGCGATTTTCCATAATCGCAACGCGAATATGAAAATCGCAACGCGAACACATAAATCGCAACGCGTATCCGTAAATCGCAACGTGTATCCGTAAATCGCAACGCGTATGGGTAAATCGCAATGCGTATCCGTATATCGCAACGCGTATCCGTAAATCGCAACGCGTATCCGTAAACCGCAACGTGTATCCGTAAATCGCAACGCGTATCCGTAAATCGCAATGCGTATCCGTAAATCGCAACGCGTATCCGTAAATCGCAACGATAATCCGTAAATCGCAACGCGTATCCGTAAATCGCAACGATAATCCGTAAATCGCAACGAGAATCTGTAAATCGCAACGATAATCCGTAAATCGCAACGAGAATCTGTAAATCACAACACTGAAATTTTGGGTATATAACACTGAAATCATAAACTAAATCCCTAAATCGCAACTCATTCCATCTCCATCTATCACTCTCTCCGGCGACATCCGTTCCTATATCCAACGACATCCTTCCCCATCCGGCAACAGGTCTTAGTTTCGCATCTCGTTTGTTTAGTTACAACCATGAAATCATCTAATGTTGATCATGTTTGGATAGATTTGTGTTTTGGAGGGTCATGGGATAATGTTAATGGTGTTTTACAATATATGCCTTTACCCATAAATCTTCAACTAAAATTGTCTTTACAAAAGTTAACTTATGAAACTCTAATGCTACGTGTTTCAAATAAATTGAATTTAGAGCCCCTAAGTGGATTTAGGCTATCTTATCAGAGAAATGGTAAAGTTTATTTGTTAACCGACAATGAAGATGTTGAACGATTCATTGCTTACATTAGTGTTTCACAAGATGATGTTACATTGTATGTTGTTGAACCTAGAAGTAGTATTGTTGGGTCAGTAGCGGGTAGTAATCACTAAGTTTTTCTCAAAACCCACAACCTTTCTCTAATCCAAATCCAATCAACTTTCAGCACCAAATTCCGGTTTTCGTATTGACCAGTTAGACGATGATGAGCCAACAGAAAAATTGTGAGTACTAGTCAGTATTCGAAATTTGGTCTTGATCAATATCCGGACTTTGATATTGGTCAATACACGGATTTTGATGATGTTTCAGAAGAAGAAACAGACCATGCGTGTAATGATATTGATATTGGTCAATACCCGAATTTTGATGATGAAACAGCCGTTGCCGAAGAATGTAATGTTGATGATAATGAGGAGGAAGTTACGACTGTGAATGAACATGTTGAACATCCATTCTGTAATTCATATAATCCTGAAGAAGAAAAAGAAGAAGAAAAAGTCCCCGAAGAAAAGAAAATGCCACGGGCGTATAACTGGAATATGCCAGAATTACTTCAGATACCGGCTATAAAAAAGTTAACAAATCAGCAAGATGTTTCGAAACAAGGGTATGATTGACAAAAAACTGTACGTGGCGTATGTGCAAAGAGAATAAAAGATTGCAAAATGTTTCAAGTTAGACTTTATGATAAACATACATGTTCAAGACCCAGTTTTTCCTCACCATAGACAGGCAAACAAAAGGTGTTGGGTGGTTTTCTGGCTGAGTTAATTTTTTGAATGGCAGGGTATATCGGGGACTGAAATTATGACTGACATGAATGCTCGTTCAAGATTAGTATATCATATTCTCAAGCTTGGAGAGCCAATTATGCCTTGGAATTGTTGAGGGGGTCGCCAGAAGCATCGTTTGCCCAACTGCCGGCTTATGTCACAATTTAAAGCTGAAAAATCCTGGGTCGGTAACTCATATCAAAACAGATAGAGATGGACGCTTTGAGTTGCTGTTTATCGCCATTGGTGCTACGTTAGTAATCATATAATTTTGTTGACTCATTTTTGTTAGTTACATGCATTTCACATTTAAATGATTATATTTCGTGTATATTATTTTGTAGATTCGTTCGTTATACTTGCATGCGCCCAGTGTTGACGGAGCACATTTGAAAGGTCGATCCTTGGAGTAAACTTATTAGCAGTAGCCATGGATGCTAACAATGGGATATTGCCAATAGCTTACGGGGTTGGCAAATCTGAAACCTCTGATTCATGGACATGGTTTATGGGCATCTTAGGGATTGCATAGGTCCTATTAGCAATCTGACAATCATATCCGATAGGGCAAACTCAATTGACAACGCTGTTAGAAGGTGTTTCCCAGATGCTTTTCATGGACTTTGTGGTGTCATTTGTATAGAAATCTAAAATCAAGGTCTGCTGGTATAAAAAAGCACAAATGGACTACTGGAAGGCTGTAAAAGCTTATCGGGAAGTGGATTTCAATAAGCATATAAATTGTTTAAGACGTGTTTGCCTCAGTGTGCTCAACACTAGAAGATGTCGGGTTTGAAAGATGGTCAAGAGTACATCAACTTGGAGCAAGATATGGTTTCATGACGTCTAATAGTGCAGAATCAATCAACGCTCTAAGTCGTCATTCCCGGAAATTACCCATTACTATGTTATGGAGTTTTTCGAGCCTCTATTCAACAGTGGTACTACAAGAAAAGAACCATGCAGGTATTATTTCTTTGAATTCGAACTTATCATATTTATATTTTACTAAGTATTGTTTATTTAAATTTACAGGAACATTGGAACATCGTGTTACACCATGGACTGAAAAAAAGATAACGAAACGTGTTGTGAAGTCAACGTCATGGAGAGTTGAACCATGTTCAAACACTTTGTTTCAAGTACTGGATAATAACTTAAATGGGCTAGTCGATCTAAATGCAAAGACGTGTAGTTGTATGAAATGGCAAACATCTGGTTATCCGTGTGGCCATGTTAAAAGGCTCTTCATTTAAACCAAGATGATTCAAGCGCATACGCTATGGATTGCTACACTACGAAGTTTATCGACAGACTTATGCCGAGATTGTCTACCCTATTCCACATCCTTCTGAGTGGGACATACCAGATGACTTACAAACAGTTTTGCCACCAGCCATGGACAGAAGGCTACCTGGCCGACCAAAAAGTCACGATCGTATACCGTCTAAGGGGAAGAGAAGAAGAGATCGACATGTAGTCGGTGCAAGGAAAGTGGTCATACAAGGTTGACATGTGGATCACCAGTGCCATCAAAATCATCTTTTCCTCTACCAAAATATGGATCCTCATCAAAATCCAAAGCTCATATGGTGTGAACTTTGTATTATGTAAACGTTGTTATTCATTGATTATGTAAACGTTTTAACATTTACATTTTATGTGTATTATGTAAACGTTGCCATCAAAAGCTCATATGCAAACGTTGTATTATGTGGATTTTATGTGTGAACTTTTAACATTTTCAGTTGAATTAATGACTCAGGCCAACCATTTTGACTTAACCAACTCTTGTTATTCAGTTGTTATCACTATTAGGCATGCATTTGACTATCGCAACACGGAAAATACAATCGCAACGCGAAATGAAAATCCCAACATGAAAATCGCAATGCGGAAATGAAAATCGCAACGAGAGAATCGCAATGCGAAATGAAAATCGCAATGCGAAATGAAAATCGCAACGAGAGAATCGCAATGCGAAATGAAAATCGCAATGCGAAATGAAAATCGCAACGAGAGAATCGCAATGCGAAATGAAAATCGCAATGCGAAATTAAAATCGCAATACGAAATGAAAATCGCAATGCGAAATGAAAATCGCAATGCGAAATGAAAATCGCAACGAAAGAATCGCAATGCGAAATGAAAATCGCAATGCGAAATGAAAATCGCAACGAGATAATCGCAATGCGAAATTATAAACGCATTGCGATTTTCATTTCCGCATTGCGATTTTCATTTCGCATTGCGATTCTCTCGTTGCGATTTTCATTTCGCATTGCGATTTTCATTTCGCATTGCGATAGTCATTTTTGCCTTCAACATAATGCAGATTGAAATCAAAAAATCAACCATTACATTTCAATCAATTAAACAAGCACAAATAAGAATTATGTTCGCATCAATTACACAAATCAACTTTTACAAATCATCTTTTACAAATCAATTAAACAATCAAAATTGAATCAACTTTTACAAATCAATTAAACAATCAAAAAACAATCAATTAAACTATTGAATCAACTTTTGCAGCTCGACATCATTTTCACGCAGTTCACTTCTGAGATTAACCTGCAGAAACCAAACATTTGTTCAAACAACACTTTCTACGCAAATTATTGAATTCTAATTACTTAACAAAACATTTTCATTTATAAGTATATAAACTTACCAATTGTTATGGACATTTTTATAACGCGGATGCAGGTAGGCAGCGTCTCGTATATATCGATTTAGCCATATAATGCCGAAACCACAAGCCTACTGCAGCTTTATCTCTATCGGTGGGAGGTAGATACTTGATGCTTCCCGTCGTCAAACGCTCCAACGCCAAGCATACGAGAGGACCACAATCTCCTCTGGCTCCGCTCGTTTGTGTGGCGCGGTCTCGTCTCTAATAACTGTAATATTGAGCTTCTTTGGCTTCTTGTTTCCAGAACGAGTCCAATAATTGATCGCATCCAAGAATTTAGCCAAATGAGAGCTCCATCCCTTAATAACATCTCTTAAATCAGCCAATGATAT